ACCTCTTAAGCAACGGATTTTGAAGGAAGTTTCTTACACTGCAAAAAAAAATATTTTTCAAGGGGAAGGTAAGATCTTTTAAGAAGACAATTTTTGCTTATCGCTGTCGTGGAGCAAAACGTCTGCACTCTTTTACTGTCACGGAGCTTCTAAATTTACCCTAACTTGTCACCGCTCCGGTATTGATTTATCAACATCATACCTCCACATTTCTCAAAGTGTTATTATTCGGCCAAGAAGGCATGTTTTAATGTAAATTCGAAAGCGCATATACCGTCGTAAACTAGGATGAAACAAATTATCCAAATTTGAATTTCTTAGCGTGTTGGTGATAAATGCCCACTAAAGTTCCTTTTTTTAGATATCGGCAAGTGATTTAAATCAAAAACTGTTTTGGCCAAACGCAATCAGCATTTGTGAGACCAATTTTAGATACGAGTCATAAGAAACTTTTAGATTAAGAGCAGTGAAGGTGTAAATATTGTTACAGTAGCGGAACAGCTTTCAGAACAACAAGGAGCAGCTCCGAAAGAGAAGAAATCTCGTTGTTAGACTGTTACAAAATGTAGACAATTCTTTGAAGCATGAGCCGATAGGAAGGTGTCATTGTGAAACACTGGAAGAATCAAAGTGGAACTTAGCATTGGACCGCCAAGAAGAAGTAAATAAACAGGATTAAAACGATCACACAGATCAAGAAAAGCCAAGAACTTTAAACAAAAAAGGAAGGTAGGTTCACGGAAAAATGCATGTTTAGGGTGGTTCGTTTTCAGTGCACATTCGTGAACTTGCCATAGTGTACCGCGTACCATCTCAGTAGCGTACCAAATTTACCTCTTTCTCTTTCCACGTTTTGGCATTTATTAATTGTAATGGAAAATCAGTTTCGTTAAAGCGTTGTGACTTTCTCTCAAACACTGCTGACTGTCGAATATTGCAAAGTGGCCACTTTGTTCATTTTACTTTAAGAAACTTGACACCAGGAACAGAGCAGTCAGTACAAGGTGGGGTGTAAATAGCAACTTGAGGATGGATACAAAATAGGTGTGTACAAGAAGCAATGTACACTTCATCTCTCAAGTAATGCGGAGGATAACCGTAAAAACTTTAGCATAGTAAATTATCGACTGGACTTCTAAAAATTTTTATTTATCAATTGTCTTATTTTCTCAGCTTAATCATCCGTCATTGACACTTCACTTTTCCCTTTTTAATGACCAGCCTTTCGCTTCTCTTCAAAGAGTTCAATAATATTGGTATGGGCCTTCTTTCTTGCAATATCCAGTGGTGTCTCCTAAAAAAAAATGTTCAAAAATCTCTTCTTCTATAGTACTGGAGAATGATAAACTCAAAACTGTAGTCAGCGTCAAAAATAACCAAAGTACAGGTGGTTTTGTTGCGCTAGTAAGCAACATGAAAGTAAACGCGCGCTGGTTATAATGCTAAAAACGCTTTTTAAAAGAGCTGATTGAAATTTTGGTAGTCGTGACGAAGTTTTTTTGTACATCTGTCAGTCTTTTATCTGCATATGACAAAGTTTAAATGCTGCAGGGGTCTAGAAAAGTGCATACTAGTGAGCTACAGTGCAAGCGTATTTCAAATGCTTAAAGACGTAAAGGGCAGAATGGTTCAAGGTGTAATGTAACACCACGGGTGCATGAAAACCTTCCTGATGTGCTTATTATACTGCATTTTAAGTCTGTCAAGGTAAATTGCGACAGTAAAAGAAAATAGCATAGAAGTCTACGTAAATTAAAAAACAAAACCATACCCCCTTACTATTTTTTGCATCAACGTTTGCACCGGCCTCGACTAGATACTTTACCACATCGAAGTAACCGTTGAAAGCTGCCCAGTGTAATGCTGTCATCTGAAGAGGAAAAGTCTTTTACAACTGGTAATTCTCGAAGCGTTGGATTATGAATTTAGCAGAGGGCCTGGTGGCGCCAATTTACTTGATGTTTCAAAGTCAGCTTGTCTACAGTGTTCTTTTTTTTTTTTTTATGGAAAGCACAAAGAACTGGCTTCATTCTTCTTCACTGTATTGTTTACGTAAGGCGAGAGAAAACAGAAGTTAGGAAAGTGGCTGATGTCGAGCACTCATTCAGAGAAGTCAACCCCGACACCACTTCCTAAGCAAATTCTGATTTTACAAGGGTTAATTCTTCCTACTGTTTTTGTAAGTACTGCAGCACGCTAACCTCTCGCTCTTTCATCCAGAAGGATATCAGCGCTTGAAAAGTTTTTGCACCACTCAGAAAAAGAGCAGAAGTAAGCTGCATTCAGTTCCTAATTTTTGATGAACTACTTCCTCACGTATTGGTTAAATTACTACAACTACACCGTATACGTATGGCTGTATATATCAGAGCTACAATCTTAGTCATTAAGTTCAACGCAGCATAAGTCTCCGCATCATACATTGCTGAAATATGTATTTGTTTTGCATATGACTTTATTTCGGGAAGAATGTGGTTCTACTTCTGATCGTCTTTTTTTACTGTTTTTAAGAGGATTCCCTCATCTCTTTCACCCAAAGGTTTCTGCAAAACACTTGCAGAAAATTGATTGCTAATTGGGATACAACACTGAAGGATTCGAGGTCTAAATAAGAAGCTTAGGGTAGAAATAAGTAAAAGACAATAAACCTTTTTTAAGCTTTTCTTTTTTTGATTCGGTTTCTCTATGTCTTCTAGCATGAAACTGGTTCCTCTACCCAAAAATTTAGGGAATTAAGTAAAAAAAAGTTAATTTTTGGAATGTTTAACGGCGTTCTACTTTGTGGCTAAATTGAGAAGGCAACATAATCGTCATCTCATTTCCAAATTGTTAGGCGATGACAGAGACGTGTGGAGTTCAGGCTCGCTTTATTAAATAAATGCTGAGTTGTTTCGAGGCACTTATTGGATCTAGTCTTCTAATCTGCTCTTTTCTTCATTCTTATTCTAATTCTAAAATAATTCCATTTCTAAAGCCGCAGAAGTGTGCCTATTAGAGAATGCATAAAAGTCAAGAATTTTTGTATTGTGGAAATGACGTAAATTTCAGGTGACTGAGAAGCTGTTTTTGTTAACAGCGAAGTAAACGGAGATTCTAAGGTCTTTCAGGTTGAAGAAATGAAGCAAAAGTTCATTTTCGAATACAGTGACCCTATTGCTGCTCATAAGATCTCTGCAGTTTACGGATTCCATTAAGCGACGACAGTGGAAGTGGTGGAGAACATTAAATAAATTATTTTAAACAATTATCTTCTACCAATTTTCACTCAGTGTTATTATAAAACAAAAATTGACTTAAAAAAACCTGGGAAAAGTGTTTGGATACTGTTCAGGTAAACATTTACTTTATCGTTAATCGTTGCATTAACGTCGGCACTATGTTCAACCAAATACCTCACTAACTCGGTGTGTCCCTTTAAAGACGCGAAGTGTAAAGGCGTCCACTAAAAAAAGCTAAACAGTGTTGAAACTGAACTAATTTTTGTTTTAAATGCGAGTTTGAACATTGTTTGGTGTTTAAAGCATAATATCTTTGCTTTGTATTAGAAGAATGCATTTTTTACTTGTTATTTTTTTTTTATAACTTTTATTTTACCCTCTCAAACCAAGTAATCTATCTTCAGCGTATCAGAAAAAAGTATAGAATAATCAAAAGCCTTGTTTTAGTTTTCAAATAGTCTTTTTTGAAGTATAGAACTTGGTACACATAAACCTTCTTTTGCTTGGCTTTCAGTATGACTAAACTTTGGGCTGGTTTTCGCCTGTATCAACAGAAGTTCTTAGTAGCTTCAAAAAATTATTCATTACACTCTTGAATGTTACAGAAGGTATTCTCTTGATTTTGTCTGCAGATTTCGAAAAACAGCTTTTGTATCATTTTGGAAAAGGAAAACTTTTTGGTTCAGTATGGACTGCATACAACAAATTTGTGGATTTAGGTTCGTACTGCTTTGAAGGTCACTTTTTCTTTTTTTTGAATTTGACAGTATTTTTCCTCAAATAATCCTGCACTTGCGAGTACAGTACCGGTAAGTCTTGCTGTAATTTCAGCTCTATCTGGCCAAAATTACTTTCTCTTCATAGCAGCGGAAATCCTCGCAAAGTTGAGTTCTGGTACGTCTCTAGGTTTTACCCTTTTTTCTCTCTCCCTCTCTCTACACTTTCGTGTTCTCTACGTGGCTTATAAAACTGAATTTATTCCACGGTGAAGGAGAGGAAACATGAGTTTTAGCTTGCTTTGAGAGATTGGAGACAGTGGAATAATACTGATATAAAATTTTGAATTTTGGTTTATCTAGAGGGCTGAGTCGGTGAATCTCCTTTCCATAGCTCTTTTTAAATTGTCGAAATGTCCAAAAATTTCCTTACACTTTTTTTTTGTTCTGTACTAACATTTTCGTTTATAGGTAAGGGTTTCTAAATAAACTGAAATTGGATCGTTAAAAAATGTTTGTTTTACTGGTTGCCTTCCATAGCTGTAGATCCGCCCAGCAGTGGAAGAATGGCGCAGATCTCCCAAACCTTCTTTTGTTTTTAAAATGATGTCTAATTCAATCAGAATTATGCATGCAAAATCTTAAAGAACTTATCAAGATCCGGAACAGTTTGACAAGCCGCTTGCAGTTTTAATATTCAATCTCCTTAACTGACTGTGCTGAACTTGTGGCAAAAAAGTGCACAGGTTATAATGCAGACCTCTGAAATTTTTGTGATGGGAAAGGCTTTGCGCAATCCTAAATAAACTTTTTGTTGGGGCATACTTAGATGGCAGAAGACAACACTACATGCCTATCAGTCTTAAAACGTTGCTTTTTTCTCCATCCATTTCCTTGCAGAAGCTAAAAAAATTTCTAAACGTTCTTTCAGCTCATCACTATTGCTGAGCCAAAGAACGGCGTGCAACAGAAGTAAGAAGGGCTAAACGAAGTATACTTAAGGATAGGTACTCTTATATATTCGTATGCAGCAGTGCTCTCGTCCAGCCCCGCTCAGAGTGAAGATTAGGAAAGTGGAAAATATAAAGTGCTTTACAGCCTTCACGAAGCCAGAATATTGGCAAAATTGTACTCTTCGGCAAAAAGTCGGCTGTGCTCTACAGCAATTTTGCAAAAACTAGAGAGTAAACAGACAAGTTTTCAAATCTGCACCAGAACTCTTGAGTTCTTCTGAAAACTGCTTAAGACGCTTCCAAAAGGAATATTAGCGGAAATCATGCAAAAGTAATGGAGTATTGAGTAATTTTTTACTCCTAATAAATCGTTTGCATTGACATCGGCTGCTCTTTCCAACAAATATCTCGCTACTTCAACCATTCCGTTTTTCGATGCTTCGTGTAGTGGCGTTCTCTAAAATATGCAGTTAAGAGTTGAATTTAGCCTAGACGTTTTTCGAGAAAGCGGTGTTTCCATCTACCTTTCTAACAAAGTTGCTGAATTGTTTTAGTGAAAAAGCAAGTAGTTGAACTTGAACTTTTAATTATCTTTTTTACAGTTACCACTTTTCGATAAATCCGTTAAATTTCGAATGACCTTTTCAAGAGGAAAGAACCAGATTCTTTATAATCAAAGAGAATTTACACGGAACTTTTTGTACCATCCATTCACTACTGCTTTGAATCAATGAAACAATATTTTTATTTCCTGCAATTCTCAAGGTTTGTAAAGAACACGAAGTAGAATCTTATTGATTTTACTACTAAGTATTTACCTGTAGGGAACTCTTTGCGCAAATGTCACTTCCTTTTTCCACTAAAAATTTGGCCACTGCAATATGCCCATTTAGTAATGCGACAAATAACGCCGTCTCCTGAAAAGCATATGAAAGGTTGTTGTAACCAAAAATATAGCCTATATATTCCAAAAACATTGAGTTTTGCAGGGTAGTTTTTTTTATCTTTTGTTGTCTTAGACTGTACCAATCACGTAGTCTGAAAAGTGGAAAAAAAAACTGGCTTAAGCAGTTTGTCTTACGATAACATGGAACTGCAGCTTTCTGCCTGCATTTCATTGACTTGATAAACTTCTCAATGAGCATAATCTTGAGCAAAATATAAAACTTTTTTTACTTTTAAATGGCTTTGGCACTTGAAAAACTCTGTATCATATCAGTTTAAAATGACAATAAATCAGACTGCAAACTAAAGTTTGCCAGTCAAAGATTTACCCCGTCTTCTTTCGCAGCATTAACGTTTGCTCCATGTTCAACCAAAAACACTGCTACATCAAGTTTGCCGTTAGAAGCTGCCATATGTAATGGTGTCCTCTGTGAGAAGGAGAAAGAAATACTGGTTTAAGTTTAACTAGCAATCTAATTGTTTAAAAGCTGTCTATACTTTCCGCTTTTCGTAATGTTTCTTTATTTCAAACAACTCTTGCATGTCTTTAAAATTTCGTGATAAAAATGTAAACCTCAATTAAGGCAATAAATTTGTCGAAACTGGCTTAAGCAATTTGTCTTACGATAAATGGAACTGCAGCTAAAAAGTATTCCACTGCCAAAACCAAAAAAGTTTAAAAAATGGCTTTATTTTTGCATGACAAAGATGAGTGTCTTTTCCCTCTGCATATTTTTGTTGTCAGTTCTCACTCAGTACTGCTTATTACTGTATCAAAAGATTCTGAGCGACTACTTTGCGTTCTTGTTTTTCACTGTCATTACGGCTTCCTAAGCTAAAAGTAGCATCGCAATGAATAAACCGATGAAATAAAGAGGCTAAAAAAAAGAAAAAAAATTAGGTTCTTTTGTCAAGTTTTTTACAAACTTTTTTACCCCATTTTTATCTTTTGTGTCAATATCAGCTCCTTTCTCTACCAAAAGTTCTACTACCTCGAGGTGTCCGTTGAAAGATGCGCGATGCAAAGGAGTTTCCTAAAAAAATCAGGTTTTCTAAATTCACTTTGAAAGTATCTCCTTGTTGACACTTATTTATTTTATATAATTTACTTTTTGATAGACTGAAAAAACTTGCTTCTTTTACAATTTTTTTCTAACTTTTGTTTTGTTTTAAAACAATTTTCTTTACTTCGCACCGTAAGGAACGAAAGAAGACTGACTTGCTTCTTTTTTTTGCAGTACTGAAAAGTGTTTCTGGACATCTTTGGTGGTCAGCAAGTAAGAATAACATGCGGTAAATTTTATTTAAGAATTTACCCCGTAATCACCTTTTGCATTAACATTCGCGCCTCTGATCAGTAAACTCTTTACCAAATCGATACGGCCGTTTTGTGCTGCTTCTCGTAAAGGGGTTTCCTGAGAAAAAAAACGTTTTTCACGTTAAATTGATT